GAAGGGAAGGAAGAAAAGAAGGCAAGGAAGGAAGAAAAGGCACAGAAGGAAGGAAGGAAGGAAGGAAGGAAGGAAGGAAGGAAGGAAGGAAGGAAGGAAGGAAGGAAGGAAGGAAGGAAGGCAAGGGAGGGAGGGAAGGGAAGGAAAGAAAAGCAAGGAAGGAAAGAAGGGTAAGGGAAGGAAGGGAAGCGAAGGAAGAAAAGAAGGCAAGGAAGGAAGAAAAGGCACAGAAGGAAGGAAGGAAGGAAGGAAGGAAGGAAGGAAGGAAGGAAGGAAGGAAGGAAGGCAGGCAAGGGAGGGAGGGAGGGGAAGGAAGGAAAGAAGGGAAGGAAGGAAGGAAGGGCAAGGGAAGGAAGGGAAGGGAAGGAAGAAAAGAAGGCAAGGAAGGAAGAAAAGGCACAGAAGGAAGGAAGGAAGGAAGGAAGGAAGGAAGGAAGGAAGGAAGGAAGGAAGGAAGGAAGGAAGGAAGGCAAGGGAGGGAGGGAGGGAGGGGAAGGAAGGAAAGAAGGGAAGGAAGGAAGGGCAAGGGAAGGAAGGAAGGGGTAGGGAAGGGAAGGAAGGCTTCGTTTGACAGCTGGATCCAGAGGAAAGGAAGGAAGGAAGGAAGGAAGGAAGGAAGGAAGGAAGGAAGGAAGGAAGGAAGGAAGGAAGGAGGGAGGAAGGAAGGAAGGAAGGAAGGAAGGAAGGAAGGAAGGAAGGAAGGAAGGAAGGAAGGAAGGAAGGGCAAGGGAAGGAAGGGAAGGGAAGGAAGAAAAGAAGGCAAGGAAGGAAGAAAAGGCACAGAAGGAAGGAAGGAAGGAAGGAAGGAAGGAAGGAAGGAAGGAAGGAAGGAAGGAGAGGGAGGGAGGGAGGAAGGAAGGAAGGAAGAAGGGAAGAAGGAAGGAAGGAAGGAGGGAAGGGAAGGAGGAAGAAGGAAGGAAGGAAGGAAGAAGGAGGAAGGAAGGAAGGAAGGAAGGAAGGAAGGGAGGAAAGGAAGGAAGGAGGGAGGGAGGGAGGCAGGCAGGCAAGGGGAGGGAGGGAGGGAGGGAGGGAGGGGAAGGAAGGAAAGAAGGGAAGGAAGGAAGGAAGGGCAAGGGAAGGAAGGGAAGGGAAGGAAGAAAAGAAGGCAAGGAAGGAAGAAAAGGCACAGAAGGAAGGAAGGAAGGAAGGAAGGAAGGAAGGAAGGAAGGAAGGAAGGAAGGAAGGAAGGAAGGCAGAGGGAGGGAGGGAGGGAGGGGAAGGAAGGAAAGAAGGGAAGGAAGGAAGGGCAAGGGAAGGAAGGAAGAAGGGAAGGAAGGGAAGGGAAGGAAGAAAAGAAGGCAAGGAAGGAAGAAAAGGCACAGAAGGAAGGAAGGAAGGAAGGAGGAAGGAAGGAAGGAAGGAAGGAAGGAAGGAAGGAAGGAAGGAAGGAAGGAAGGAGAAGGAGGAGGAGAAGGAAGGAAGGAAGGAAAGACAGAAGAAATAAAGGAAGGAAGGAAACAAAAACGGAAGGAAGGAAAGCAGAAAGGGAAGACTGAAATGGAAGGATGGAAAGAAGGAAGGAAAGGAAGGAAGGAAAGGAAGGGAGGGGAGGGAGGGAAGGAAGAAGGAAGGAAGGAAAGGAAGGGCAAGGGAAGGAAGGAGGGGAAGGAAGAAAAGAAGGAAAGGAAGGAAGAAAAGGCACAGAAGGAAGGAAGGAAGGAAGGAGGAAGGAAGGAAGGAAGGAAGGAAGGAAGGAAGGAAGGAAGGAAGGAAGGGAAGGGAAGGAAAGAAAAGCAAGGAAGGAAAGAAGGGTAAGGGAAGGAAGGGAAGCGAAGGAAGAAAAGAAGGCAAGGAAGGAAGAAAAGGCACAGAAGGAAGGAAGGAAGGAAGGAAGGAAGGAAGGAAGGAAGGAAGGAAGGAAGGCAAGGGAGGGAGGGAGGGGAAGGAAGGAAAGAAGGGAAGGAAGGAAGGGCAAGGGAAGGAAGGGAAGGGAAGGAAGAAAAGAAGGCAAGGAAGGAAGAAAAGGCACAGAAGGAAGGAAGGAAGGAAGGAAGGAAGGAAGGAAGGAAGGAAGGAAGGAAGGGAGGGAGGGAGGGGAAGGAAGGAAAGAAGGGAAGGAAGGAAGGGCAAGGGAAGGAAGGGAAGGGAAGGAAGAAAAGAAGGCAAGGAAGGAAGAAAAGGCACAGAAGGAAGGAAGGAAGGAAGGAAGGAAGGAAGGAAGGAAGGAAGGAAGGAAGGAAGGAAGGAAGGCAAGGGAGGGAGGGAGGGGAGGGCAGGAGGAAGGAAAGAAGGAAGGAGGAAGGAAGGAAGGAAGAGGAAGGAAGGAAGGAGGGAAGGGAAGGAAGGAAGGGAAGAAGAAAAGAAGGAAGGAAGGAAGAAAAGAAAGAAAGGAAGGAAGGAAGGAAGGAAGGAAGGAAGGCAAGGGAGGGAGGGAGGGGGAGGGGGAAAGGAAGGAAGAAGGGAAGGAAGGAAGGGAAGGAAGGAAAGGGAAGGGAAGGAAGGAGAGAAGGAAGGAGGAAGAAAAGGACAGAAGGAAGGAGGAAGAAGGAAGGAAGGAAGGAAGAAGGAAGGAAGGAGAGGAAGGGAGGGAGGAGGAGGGAGGGAGGGAGGAGGGAGGGAAGAAAGGAAAGAAGGGAAGGAAGAAGGGCAGGGAAGGAAGGGAAGGGAAGAAGAAAAGAAGGCAAGGAAGGAAGAAAAGGCACAGAAGGAAGGAAGGAAGGAAGGAAGGAAGGAAGGAAGGAAGGAAGGAAGGAAGGAAGGCAAGGGAGGGAGGGAGGGAGGGAGGGGAAGGAAGGAAAGAAGGGAAGGAAGGAAGGGCAAGGGAAGGAAGGGAAGGGAAGGAAGAAAGAAGGCAAGGAAGGAAGAAAAGGCACAGAAGGAAGGAAGGAAGGAAGGAAGGAAGGAAGGAAGGAAGGAGGGAGGGAGGGAGGGAGGGGAAGGAAGGAAAGAAGGGAAGGAAGGAAGGGCAAGGGAAGGAAGGGAAGGGAAGGAAGAAAAGAAGGCAAGGAAGGAAGAAAAGGCACAGAAGGAAGGAAGGAAGGAAGGAAGGAAGAGAAGGAAGGAAGGAAGGAAGGAAGGAAGGAAGGGAGGGAGGGAGGGAGGGGAAGGAAGGAAAGAAGGGAAGGAAGGAAGGGCAAGGGAAGGAAGGGAAGGGAAGGAAGAAAAGAAGGCAAGGAAGGAAGAAAAGGCACAGAAGGAAGGAAGGAAGGAAGGAAGGAAGGAAGGAAGGAAGGAAGGAAGGAAGGAAGGAAGGAAGGAAGGAAGGCAAGGGAGGGAGGGAAGGGAAGGAAAGAAAAGCAAGGAAGGAAAGAAGGGTAAGGGAAGGAAGGGAAGGGAAGGAAGAAAAGAAGGCAAGGAAGGAAGAAAAGGCACAGAAGGAAGGAAGGAAGGAAGGAAGGAAGGAAGGAAGGAAGGAAGGAAGGAAGGAAGGAAGGAAGGAAGGCAAGGGAGGGAGGGAGGGGAAGGAAGGAAAGAAGGGAAGGAAGGAAGGGCAAGGGAAGGAAGGGAAGGGAAGGAAGGAAAGAAGGCAAGGAAGGAAGAAAAGGCACAGAAGGAAGGAAGGAAGGAAGGAAGGAAGGAAGGAAGGAAGGAAGGAAGAGGAAGGAAAGGAAGGAAGGCAAGGGAGGGGGAGGGAGGGGAAGGAAGGAAAGAAGGGAAGAGGAAGGAAGGGCAAGGGAAGGAAGGGAAGGGAAGGAAGAAAAGAAGGCAAGGAAGGAAGAAAAGGCACAGAAGGAAGGAAGGAAGGAAGGAAGGAAGGAAGGAAGGAAGGAAGGAAGGAAGGAAGGAAGGAAGGAGGGAGGGAGGGGAAGGAAAGGAAAGAAGGGAAGGAAGGAAGGAAGGGAAGGGAAGGAAGGGAAGGAAGGAAGAAGAGGAAGGAAGGAAGGAGAAGGAAGGAAGGAAGGAAGGAAGGAAGGAAGAAGGGAAGGAAGGAAGGAAGGAAAGAAGGAAGGAAGGAAGGAAGGAGGAGGGAAGGAAGGAAAGAAGGAAGGAAGAAGGGAGGGAAGGAAGGAAGGGAAGGAAGAAAAGAAGGAAGGAAGGAAGAAAAGGCACAGAAGGAAGGAAGGAAGGAAGGAAGGAAGGAAGGAAGGAAGGAAGGAAGGAAGGGAAGGAAGGAAGGAAGGAAGGAAGGAAGGAAGGAAGGAAGGAGGGAGAAGGGAGGGGAAGGCAGGAAAAAGGCAAGGAAGGGAGGGAGGGAGGGAGGGAGGGAGGGAGGAAGGAAGGAAGGAAGGAAGGAAGGAAGGAAGGAAGGAAGGAAGGAAGGAAGGAAGGGAAGGAAGGAAGGAAGGACAAGGAAGGAAGGGAGGGGAAGGAAGGAAAGAAGGAAGGAAGGAAGGAAGGAAGAAGAAGGAAGGAAGGAAGGGGAAGGAAGGGAAGGAAAGAGGAAGGAAGGGAAAGGAAGAAGAAGAAGGAAGGAAGGAAGGAAGGAAGAAGGAAGGAGAAAAGGAAAGAAAGAAAGAAGGCAAGGAAGAAAAGGTAAGGGAAGGAAGGACAAGACAAGGAAGGGAGAAAAGTGAAGGAAGGAAGGAAGGAAGGCAAGGAAGGAAGGAAGAAAAGCCAAGGAAGGAAGGCAAGGAAAGAAAGGCAAGGCAAGGCAAGGAAAGAAGAAAGAAAGCAAGGCAAGGAAGGAAAGGAGGGCAAGGAAGAAAGGAAGGAAAGGCAAGGAAAGAAGGAAGGAGGAAAAGAAAAAGGAAAGGCTCTCAAGAATGAAAGAGAGGAATGGAAAAGAAGGGAAAAGGGAAAAGAAATGGGAAAAGGGGGAAAAGAAGGAAAGGATCCCGTGAAATAAAGTAGGAAGGAAGGAACAGAAAGGGAGGGATGAATGAAAGAAGGAAAGGAAGGAAGAAAAAAAGAGGAAAGGAAAGACGGAAAGGAAGGAAGGAAAGACTCCGAACGAAGGAAGGGAAAGAAAGGCTACTGAGAAAGGGAGAGAGGAAAGAAAGGGGAAGGAAAGGAAAGGCTCTCAAGGAAGGAAGGAAGGAAGGAAGGAAGGAAGGAAGGAAGGACAGAGAGAGGGTGTGTTCCTGCAAGGCACTTTCACGCCTCCTCTCCTTGCTTTGCAGCCACTCCGACGCACAACCACCGCCGCTCCTGCCTCCGGATGAAGGTCTTCGTCTGCTGCGCCTCCCGTAAGTGCTCCCCTCTCGCACGAGGCCATTTGCACGCCCGCCAGACCGGGAATCCTGCGCATTATTTCCTTGTGGGATGGATCTCCTTCTGGGCTAGGTTCTCCACCGGGAGCTAATCCTTTCTATCTGTATACCACCCTCTTGTGCACGGCATGCATACATTACAAACCTATAGGTCAGTAGCCAATCATTTCTATGTATATACTGCCCCCTTGTGGCTGCACGTGAGCATTGCATGCAAACAAACCTATAGGCCAGAAGCTTTTCTGTCTCTACACCGCCCTCTTGTGGTTGCCCCTGAGCATTGCATACATATAAATGTATAGGGCAGTAGCTTTTCTATCTCTACACCACCCTCTTGTGGTCATACCTGAACATTGCATACATACAAACCTATAGGCCAGAAACTTTTCTGTCTCTACACTGCCCTCTTGTAGATGTACCTTGGAACTGCATACACACAAACCTATAGACCAGAAGCTCATGAGCATTGCATAGAAACAAACCTATAGGCCAGAAGTTTTTCTATCTCAACATTGCCCTCTTGTGGTTGTACCTGAGCATGGCATACATACAAACCTATAGGTCAGAAGCACATGAGCATTGCATACCAACAAACCTATAGGCCAGAAGCTCATTGGCATTGCATACATACAAACCTATAGGTCAGAAGCACATGAGCATTGCATACCAACAAACCTATAGGCCAGAAGCTCATTGGCATTGCATACATACAAACCTATAGGTCAGAAGCACATGAGCATTGCATACCAACAAACCTATAGGTCAGAAGCTCATTGGCATTGCATACATACAAACCTATAGGTCAGAAGCACATGAGCATTGCATACCAACAAACCTATAGGCCAGAAGCTCATTGGCATTGCATACATACAAACCTATAGGTCAGAAGCACATGAGCATTGCATACCAACAAACCTATAGGTCAGAAGCTCATTGGCATTGCATACATACAAACCTATAGGTCAGAAGCACATGAGCATTGCATACCAACAAACCTATAGGTCAGAAGCTCATTGGCATTGCATACATACAAACCTATAGGTCAGAAGCACATGAGCATTGCATACATACAAACCTATAGGCCAGAAGCTTTTCTGTCTCTACACCGCCCTCTTGTGGTTTTACCTGAGCATTGCATACAAACAAACCTATAGGTCAGAAGGTTTTCTGTCTCTACACTTCCCTCTTGTGGTTATGCTTGAGTATTGCATACATTCAAACCTATAGGCCAGAAGCTTTTCTGTCTCCACACTGCCCTCTTGTGTCTGCACCTGAGCATTGCCTCCATGCCAACCTAGAGGCCTCTGCTGTCCGTCCTGTGGATCGAATGGCCTCTGAGTGGCCAGGGCTTGTGCCTTTGGGCGGGGAAGGGGCGGCGGTGCCTGTGGGTGGGCGTGGCGTGGGGCGGGGCATTCTGTCCGTGGGCGTAACCCTCTCCTCCCCCCCTCTCCTGCCCCAAACAGCGTCGCTCTCCGGGGAGAAGGCGGCCCCGACCCTCCCGCAGTTCACTATAGGGCCAGAAGTGAAGATCGAGGACTTGGGTGAGTCAGAGCATCCCAGAATCCTCGAGTGGGAAAGGGACCCCCAGGGGACACAATAAAAGCCCTCCCGGCAGATGGCCACCCGGCTTCCCTTTAAAGACCGCCACAGAGTTGGAAGGGAGCCCCAAAGGTCATCCAGTCTAGCCCCCTTCTGCCACAACCAAAGCCCTCCCGACAGATGGCCATCTCACTTCCCTTTAAAGACCGCCATAGAGTTGGAAGGGAGCCCCAAAGGTCATCCAATCCCACCCTCTTCTGACACAAACAAAGCCCTCCTGACAGATGGCCATCTCACTTCCCTTTCAAGACCCCATAGAGTTGGAAGGGAGCCCCAAAGGTCATCCAGTCCCACCCCCTTCTGACACAAACGAAGCCCTCCTGACAGATGGCCACCTAGCCTCCAATAAAAGACTGCGATAGAGTTGGAAGGGAGCCCCAAAGGTCATCCAGTCTCACCCTCTTCTGCCACAAACAAAGCCCTCTCAGCAGATGGCCATCCAGCCAAAGACAGATGTGATTGATTTTGAAAGGGAGATTTTTTCCAGGAGAGATATTAAATAATAATAATAATAATAATAATAATAATAATTGTAAATATATAATATAATATAATAATACTTAATAATATATAATAATAAATATATAATATAATAATAAAATATATTATAATAATAAATATATAATATAATATATATTATATATAATATAATATATATAATAATAATAAATATATCATAATAAATATATAAAATAATATAATAATAATATATAGTAATAATAATAATAAATATATAATAATAATAATAATAAATAAATAATTGACTGAGACAGAAATCTATGGAAGATATATCACATAATCTTAGAATTGGAAGGGAAACCTAAAGGCCACCCAGTCAAACCCCCTCCTGCCATAAAAGAATGCACCATCAAAGCCCTCCCGACAGATGACCATCCTGCTTCATAGATATTTATGCAGGAATAAAGTTATAGAATCAAAGGCCCCTAGAGTTGGAAGGGACCCCCCAAACGCCAGCCAGTCCAACCCCCGACTGCTATAAAGGAATGCACAATCCAAACCCTCCCGACAGATGGCCATCCAGCCGAAGGGCATTCTAACAGACTCCGAAGCAGACTGTTCCACTGTTGAACAGCTCTTAATGCCAGAGGAGATAGATAGATAGATAGATTAGATAGGGACCTCCAAAGGTCATCCAGCCCAACCCCAAAGAGGCAGGGAAGGCACAGTCTAATCCCTCCCAACAGATGGCCACCCAGTCTCAGAGACATTAGATAGATAGATAGATAGATAGATAGATAGATAGACAGAATCCTAGAGTTGGGAGGGGCCCCGAAGAAGGCCATCCAGTCCAACCCCAAAGGGGCAAGGAAAGCACAGTCTAATCCCTCCCGACAGATGGCCACCCAACCTCAGAGACATTAACTAGCTAGCTAGATAGAATCCTAGAGTTGGGAGGGACCCCAAAGAAGGCCATGCAGTCCAACCCCAAAGGGGCAGGGAAGACACAATCTAATCCCTCCCAACAGATGGCCATTAGATGATAGATAGATAGATAGATAGATAGATAGATAGATAGATAGATAGATAAAATCCTTGTGTTGGAAGGGGCCCCCAAAGGTCATCCAGTCCAACCCCAAAGAGGCAGGAAAGGCACAGTCTGACCCCTCCCGAGAGATACCCTTCTAGTCTCGGTTTCCTTCCTTTGGGGCAGGAGGGGCTCGTTGCGGGGGGAGAGGGCGCCCGTTGCGAGGCGTGAGACCCTGACATCCCCTCCGTTTCTCTCTTTCTTTCCTTCCTTCCTTCGTTCCTTTCGTGCGCAGACAACTTCAACCCAGAGATGCCCAAGCTGGAGAAGAGCATCAGCGGGACCAGTCCCAAGCGGGAACACTTGCCGCTGGCCGTGGCTGCCGCCTTCTTCCTCATGACGCTGCTGGCCTCCTAGCCCCGCAGAGGGGGGGCACGCCAGGGGGCATCGGGCCCGAGTGGACGCTTGACCGAGTTGCACCCTGGGAGCGAGCACGGCGCCTTTGCAAAGGGGACCCTCGGGAGAGGGAGGCACGCAAGCGCGCCTTGCAAACGGGAGGTGGACGGAAACGAAAGAAAGGGGGATCCATAGACTTTTTTGGGTGGCCCCCCAAAAAAACCCCAAAGGAACCATTGCAGCTGCTTCAGCCTTCCCACCATTGCGACCCATGTACTTGCGGGAACTACGTCTCTTCTTCCACCAACCGTCGGTCCTCTTGTATTTGGGGGAACTACGTCTTTTTTTCCCAGCACCACCCGGCCGTCAGGACCATGGTACTTGAAGAAACTACGTATCTCTTTCCCCACCACCGGGACCCTGGTACTTGGGGAAACTATGTATCTCTGTTTCCACCATCGGAAACCCCAGTACTTGGGGGAAACTACGTATCTCTTTCCCCACCATTGGGACACTTGTACTTGGGGAAACTACGTATCTCTTTTTCTGCCATCAGAACCCTGGTACTTGAGGAAACTACGTATCTCATTTTCCATCAGAACCCTGGTACTTGAGGAAGCTATATATCTCAGTTTCCATCAGAACCCTGGTACTTGAGGAAACTACATATGTCTTTTTCTGCCATCGGGACCCTAGTACTTGAGCAAATTACGTATGCTTTTCCATCAGAACCCTGGTACTTCAGGAAACTACATGTCTGTTTTCTACCACCGGAACCATGGTACTTTGGAAAACTACATATCTCCATTTTCACCATTGGGACCCTGGTACTTGGGAAAATTACATCTCTCTCCTCCCCCCATACACACACCATTGGGACCCTGGTACTTGAGGAAACTACATATCTCCCCACCATTGGGACCCTGCTACTTGAGGAAACTACATCTCTCTCCACCATTGGGACCCTGGTACTTGAGGAAACTACATATCTCTCCACAATTGGGACCCTGGTACTTGAGGAAACTACATCTCTCTCCACCATTGGGACCCTGGTACTTGGAGAAACTACATCGCTTTTTTTCCCACCATCCAGACCCTGGTACTTGGGGACATCGTCTATCTTTTCCCACCACCATCCCACTGTTGTGACTCTGGTATTTGGGAAAACTACATCTCTCTTTTTGTCCACCATTGGGACCCTGGTACTTGGGGAAAGTACATCCCTCTTTTCGTCCACCATTGGGGAAACTATGCCTCTCCTTTCCCTACCATTGTGACCCTGGTACTTGGGGAAACCGCATCTCTCTTTTTGTCCACCACTGGGATCCCGGTACTTGGGGAAACTACATTGCTCCTTTTCCACAATTGTGACCATGGTACTTGGGGAAACCGCATTTCTCTTTTTGTCCACCACTGGGATCCTGGTACTTGGGGAAACTACATCGCTCCTTTTCCACCATTGTGACCCTGGTACTTGGGAAAACTACGTCTCTGTTTTTTTTTCCACCACTGGGATCCTGGTACTTGGGGAAACTACGTCTCTGTTTTTTTCCCCCAACCATTGGGACCCTTGTACTTGGGGAAAACTACGTCTCTCTTCTCCTCTGCAGCAATAGTCCCGCCGTTTGGCCTCTCCCGCCCGCCAGGACTGACCGCAAGGACCGGGCTTTGGCCGGACGGAGGGAGGGGAGGGTGGCCGGCGGCCCTGATCCTGTACATATCCGGACGGAGGGATCTGTAGGGCGGTCAAGGGGTCTCTTCTTCGTTTTCGGGGGCCTTTCCCTTTCCTTCCTTCCTTCCTTCCTTCCTTCCTTTCGTCTTCTGTGAAGACCCGACCTATGCAAGAAGCACGGACACTTTTTGTTGTCGTTTCCTTTCCGAGGGAGGGGGGGAGGGAGGGGGGACAGATCCGGGTTAAGCGGACCCGTGCGGACGTGGACACGAGGGATCCAAGGGTGGGGAGGGGAGGGGGGTCTCTTTGTGGGGGTTTTTAGTTTTCCTCCTTCCTCCTTTCTTCTTCTCGTTCTTCTTCTTCTTCTTCCCCGAGAGCTTTGGCTGGCGATTTTCATATACTTGCTCTTCTTAAATCTATTCGAAACGGGATAAACAAACAAACAAAAGGTCAATAAAAGGTGGGGAAAAAGACAAGCCGCGGGAGATACGGTCCTCCTTCTTCTGTCTTTCTTTGATGGGTCCAGCAAGTTGGGTTTGGACAATTGGGTTTGAACAGTAGAGGCTGGGTGGCCATCTGTCGGGAGGGATCGGATGGTGTCTTCATACCTAGATTGGGGTTGGAATGGGTGGCCTTTGGGTCCCTTCTAATTCAATGATGATGATAATAATTGATGATGATGATGGTATCTCCTTCGCTGGAGGTTTCTAAGCAGAAGCTGGATGGCCATCTGTCGAGAGGGAGCGGATGGTGTCTTCATACCTAGATTGGGGTTGGAATGGATGGCCTTTGGGGTCCCTTCTAATTCAATGATGATAATAATAATAATAATAATAATAATAATAATAATAATAATAATAATTGATGATGATGCTTATGGCATCTCCTTCGCTGGAGGTTTCCAAGGAGAGGCTGGGTGGCCATCTCTCGGGAGGGATCAGATGGTGTCTTCATACCTAGATTGGGGTTGGAATGGATGGCCTTTGGGGCTCCCTTCCAATTATACGATCCAGTGATCTGTCTACCATATGTTTCTATGAGGCTGGATGGCCATCTGTCAGGAGGGATCAGATGGTGGACTGGGTGGAGCCTTGGGGTCTCTTCCAATTCTTAAGAGTCTGTGAAGCTGGATGGCCATCTGTCGGGAGGATTCGATTGGTAGATACTGGAATAATAATAATAATAATAATAATAATAATAATAGTAAATTAATATAATAGTAAATTAATATAATAATAATGAATAAATAAAATAAAATAAAAATAATATACAATAATAACAACAACAACAACAACAAAACAACAACAATAATAATAATAATAATAATAATGGTTCTGTGACCGGATTAGATTAGTAGATATTGGAATAATAATAATAATAATAATAATAATAATAATAATAATAAATTAATATAATAATAAAAAAATTAATATAAAATATAATAATAATAATAATAATAATAATAATAATAATAATAATAATAATAATAATGGTTCTGTGACTGGATTAGATTAGTAGATACTGGAATAATAATAATAATAATAATAATAATAATAATAATAATAATAATAATAGTAAATTAATATAATAATAATAAATTAATATAAAATATAATAATAATAATAATAACAACAACAACAATAATAATAATAATAATAATGGTTCTGTGACCTGAATTATTCCACTAAAGGAGACCTCTGGCCCTAAAGAATCACGCGGTCAGCAGAATGACCGCTGGCCTGAGTGCTTCACATCCCAAAGGGGCCAAGGGCCCGCTCACGTCCATCCGTCCCTCCATCCGCCCACCTTCCTTCCTTCCTTCTTCCTTGGGTAGATGAATCACCGTCTGCATCTGCAAACCTGGAAAGAGCTTTTTGGGACAACACTGAATCAGCGCCAGGTGCGTCACCTGCAGGGAAAGGGGCCGCTTCCAGGAAAGGAAAGGCCCCGCATCCCCTTATTTCCTCCTTTAGTGCACACAACAACCTTGCAAGGCAGGACAGCGCTGGAGAAAAAAACATTGCAATGACTCCAAGGCTGCATGAAGACCTCTGGTGATGATGATGATGATGATGATTTGTTGTTATTAGTATTAGTATTATTATTATAGTGCATACTCTCAGTTAATCCATATAGATAGGTGGTTGCTGGATTAATAATAATATTTTTTTTTTGTATCAGGAGTGACTTGGGAAACTGCAAGTCGCTTCTGGTGTGAGAGAATTGGCCGTCTGCAAGGACATTGCCCAGATGTGTTACCATCCTATGAGAAGCTTCTTTCATGTTCCCGCATTCTTTCTTTCTTTCCTTTCTTCTTTCTTTCTTTCTTTCTTTCTTTCTTTCTTTCTTTCTTTCTTTCTTTCTTTCTTTTTTCCATCCTTCCTTCTTTCCTTCCTTCTTTCTTTCTTTCTTTCTTTCTTTCTTTTTTCCTTCCTTCCTTCCTTCTTTCTTTCCTTCTTTCTTTCTATCCTTTTTTCTTTTTCCTTCTTTCTTTCCTTCCTTTTTTCTTCTTTCCTTCCTTCTTTCTTTCCTTCCT